CTAAAAGAGATTTTAGCTGTAAAGTATGGAATCCAAAGATTTGAATTTCACCTCATTGGATGTCACTTTCTTGTGGAATTAGATATGTCAGTCTTTAATCAGATGTTCAATTTCAAAAAGAAAAAAATACTAAATGCATAATTACTCAGGCTATCACAGTGATTCTCACAGTATTCCTTCACCACAGTATATATAAAAGGTAAAGATAACCTCATTTCAGACATGCTCACAAGACCTCTTTCAAACTTTTCTTCAAATACCTTGTAGATTACTCCAGTCATTTCCATGATGAATCCAACATTTTCTTATTCACAAGCCTTATCTTCAAAAAATTCTCTTTTTCTTTTTTCAGAAACCTCACCTTGATGATGAATTTGATTTACTTGATGATTTTGAACAAGAACTATACAGATGGGTAAATGATTGTCTCATTCTCCAGTACCTTAAAGAGTTTTTAAAAATATAGATACTCATGGTGCTCCAAGATAAAAAATTTTCTAATGCATAATAACGTGTGATAATTTCAGTACTTCAGAAGACTTCAAAAAATTGATTATGATGCCTCCACATCAAGATAACTTTATGTCAAGTTTTCATCAACTTTATGTCTAAATCAAGTCATGTTTATTTTATGAGTCACATTTACTTTATGTCAACTAAGTGATGAGTCATAGTGATGAGTCACCGTACTATAGTAATGAGTCACCGTACTTTAACTTTATGTTAAGCCACTTGTAAAGTTGTAATTATGCTTTGTCTTAACTTTGTCCTATTAGGTTATTATTTATTTACTTTTTTCTTGTATAAATAGGATGATACTTCTTCAAGAAGTAATCATCAATCATCGAAACAATAAAACTTTTCCCTTGTAACAAACATTTCTTTATAAAATATATTTGGCTAAAAACTTCTCTTCTCTTTTGGTAATTTTATCTTCCTTCTTCCATAGTTAAAAGCTTTTAGCTTCATGATTTTTTTCAACTATTCCATAGTTTACAGTGATACAAGTTAAGTATGCTCTGCAGTTACCATAATATTATGGATCTTTTGCATCAAAAATTCTTGTTAAACTGATTAAACAGATCATTGATCCCTTTTCCTCAGTCAAAAAAAAAGTTATACTAACCTAAAATCATACAATAGTAAGTAACTGTAGTAAAATACATATCTCTATAAAAATTAGGCTCCCAGTTCGACGTTAAGCCAAGAAGGCACCAAGAGTCTTAAACACTGACTAGAATACCTTGGTTATATGTCTGATCTATGGAATACTTATGGTTGATATTATCTTGTCAAGTTGATCAATCTACATGTTGTTATCATAATATCATATAGTATTATCAGGACTCTATCACTCGAAAAGCTCAAAACTGAAGCTGTCAGTTGTCAAAACCTAGACCGTACTACCACCGCTGTGTATAAAAATGATATCAGTGATAGGTAGTACGACCAAGGCTCTGATAACTGACGACTTCAGTTTCAGGCTTTTCGGATGGTAGAGTCCTGATAATACTATCTGGTACTATGATAATAACATGTAGATCGATCAACTTGACAAGATAATACTAACCATAAGCGTTTCATTTATCAGACATATAACTAAGATATTCTAACCGATGTTTAAGACTTTTGGCGTCTTCTTGGCTTAATGTCGAACTGGAGGCCTGACTTTTATGAAGATATATCTTTCACTATAGTAACTTACTATTAGTATGATCTTGGGTTAGTATAACTTTTTTTTGGCTGATAGAAATGGATCAATGATCTGTTTAATTAGTTTAACAAAAATTTTTGATGCAGAAGATCCATAATATTATGATAACTGCAGAGCATACTCAACTTGTATCACTATAAACTATGGAATAGCTTGAAAAAAATCATGAAGCTAAAAGCTTTTAACTATGGAAGAAGGAATGGCATCATTGAGACAACAACATGTAGATCGGTCAACTTATGTTCAATTCTGTGCAAGTATGAATTCTGCTGGAGAAAATCTTTAGTTTGCCAGTTTAAAATTGCTTTAGCATGAGAAACACTTTTTTGGTTCCCATATTTATCTCTGTCAGTGGGAATGGGGAATTTTGGAATGTGTTTGTACTGGTCTTTATGAAACTCTTGAAAATGAGGGAAATCTGAGCTTGGAAAGGTTGGTTGTATCATTGAAATTTATGGTAAAGGTTAGGTGAAATCTTGGGTGGAATCTGAGTTTTATGTGGTTTGATTTGAATAGGTTTGAGAGTGTGGTTTTTCTTTCTTAAGATAAATGATATGGTAGTCAAACTTTTCTGAAAGTTCACTAAGGAGATCAACTTCAGAGTCTCCATTCTCATATCTTTCTTTGAGCTTTTGCTAGGAAGATTTTTTCTTCTTTTGGTTCTTTGAAACATCATCATCATCATCCAAGAAGCTTTTATATGCGTCTATCTGGCATTCTTTGCATTAACAATTTATTTCCCAATAACAATGTCTTTGTGGAGATCTATATGCATACACGAGATTTTTATTGGACTGAAAATGTATGATTGGAACATCAAGGAGATCAGCATGACATCTTTGCATCATAAATTATGTTGGAAAGATTGTTGGAAGAGGAACATCTTTTCTTTGCTGTGATCAAATTTAATTGTGACAGTACCATTCTGATTTATCTTGTAGGTTGGATCAAAGTGTTCAATTGATTCATCTTACTTTTAAATCTTTTGATAACTTATCGTCTATGTTTTTTAGAGAAGGGTGGCAAGTTATTCATTTGAGATCTGCTTTGAAATATGAACATGTCTATGAGTTCTATCTACTGTTTCTATTTTGATAAAAACAGCATCACTGAAGTGTGAAAGAGGTAAGTTAATGGCATGATCTTGAACTCTATATGTCATCTGATAGTGAAGGGTTACCTGGAGGCTTTTTATTTCTGTGCCTACGATCTAGACTTGAACTTTTAAAACATCTAACAGAGTTGAATCATGAAAAGACATACTATAATTTGAGAAGACTGTGAAGAAGATAGTTCCTGCATTGAGTGTTGTCTCAAAAATGTTTTAAAATTTCAACTAGTTTGAAAATAAATCTGATCAATACTGTGTTCATCGTAACATTGGAATGAGAGTTTAATTCAACGAGTCCCCATGCTAAGAACTCTTGGAATCTTGAGGGCCATTTTGAAGGAGAAATATCACAATGGTAAAAACTGAGAACTTTGATGTCGAAAGAAAAACATGTCATTGTTGTGGAAGAGGGTGTTGTTTAGCATCCATTATATCTGGGTTGTGAACTTCTGAAGTATCATTTGAAACTTCAACTGTTGGTTCTGTCATGAAAATCTAAGGGAGCATTATCTCATCATTAGTATCATCTGTTTCAACTGAGTTATCTGATTTGACAGTGTCCATATGGGATTCAGTCTTAAAAGTAGAAGAAAAAATATCTTTAAGGGAAAATTGAGGGAGATTGTCTTGTGCCATGTGGTGAAGTATTTTTGGAAGGGTTTGTGTAGGAGAAATCATAAGTTGTACAGGTTTTTGGGCTGGTTGTGGTGCAGGATTTTGAGGTGTGGAACTTGAGTTTGGTTTTAGTTTTGAAGGTTGAAAAAGTGGTTGTTCTGCTACTCTTTTGGGTTTTGGATCAACTGGTTGTTTTTCTCAAAATTTGTGAATCTATTTTTCAGTTGTACCAAAGAGAGATTGTTCTGGTTGGTCTGAAATAGGAGTGAAGTATTATGTTGGTTGTGAGGATGTTGGGATGGATGTTGGGGGAAGTTTATACTGAAAAGGTGTGAAAAAAGGTTTTGGAGGCGAGGTTGGAGGATTATATGATTGAAATAGATGAGGACTATAGGCTTGGTAAGGAGTATCATGCATACCAATGTGAAATGGTGTGAAGATGTTGTAATTAGAGGCTGCCTGTGTTGTTGTTGTTTCTGACGAAACTGGTTTTGAAGGTCTGCAAGTTGAATCTTTAGGCTCTTCATTTCTTTCTCTCTTTTAGTGAAAGCATAAGTGAATCTAATGTTGGTTTCAGCCATATATTTGAGTTTTTGATCAAGTGTGATTATCTTTGACTGAATTTTAAGAATAAAATTTTGAAGATTGACAAGGCCCTGATCAAAATGTTGACTGACTTGGTCCAACTGGATCCTTGTTTGCTACGCAAGTTTTTCTGGAACAGAATTGAGAAAAACTTGCTTCAAATTGACATCATCGAATTCAGCAAGTATGTAAAAATACTGAGAGAATTATTGATAATATCTATCAAGGTCTTTTGGATGGAAAAACAGCATTTTAGTTTGAAGAATTGTTCTCTGATCTTTTTCAATATGTGAGTTTCTTGTCCACAAAAGATTGTTGTAAATTGAGAGACAGCTTCTGTGATTGTTGGGCATTGGAGAAACTGGAATTGTCTGTATTCACCAATGTTGTCCCAACGATGACTTGAAGAACAATAAATAGATGCTAGATTAAGAGTGTAAATGATTTATTAATATTTATAAATTATTTAGATTTATTTTAAATAAAATTTAAATTTGATTCGATTATTATTTAATTAAATTTAAACAGTTTGATTTATTGAATAAATTAGATTTAAATATCTAAATATTCAATTCAAATAGTTCATGAATTTAATTAAATTTTAAATTTTAATATATTATATATTATTTTTATTAAAAATTTATTATTTTCTCTTTATATATCAATTCGAATTCAAAGTAACACATAATCTAACTTAAAATGAAAATCAAACTCATTTTTATTAAAAAATTTTAATCAAATGAACTCAAGTAATTTAATTTTTATTTCAAATTTAATTTAAACTTAAAATTAAACTCAATTGACTTTAAACTAAATTTCAAGTAAAAACTTTCAAATCAAACTCATATACAAATTTTTTATCATATTGACTCAACTTGATTATACCTTTTTCATGACTAAGGAAATATCTACCAAATTACCGTCGTCAGTGGCTTCTCGATGATTCGAGGGCTTAAAATAAAAAAAATAAAATAAAATTAAAAAGTGGGTTTCGAGATGCATGCTGTAACGCAGCCCTTATGTTATCTTTAGTTACAAAACAGTTCATTGGGTTTAAAGTTACATGCTGGGCAGCCACGAACAATGGGTTAGAGAGAACATTCATTCAAAAATGAGTATTGCCTATTCCTCGAGGAAACAAAAACCATGATGTCTAAAACAAAATTAATACTTTTTCTTGACATCAGAGCATCAGAACATTGAATAGATGATAACACAGAGTAAAATCCCAGAATGTGTTCGACAACTATAAAGTAAAACTACATAATCTTTGAGATGCTCCAAGAAGTCAAAGGGTATCATCCATTCTTTCATCAGCCAAACAAGGAATATTAGACTAAAAGACTAATCCAGATTGATATTTGAATCGTCCCTCACTTTTTTGCCAAACATGAAGTTCATGGCTCCTAAGCAATACTTAATTCCTGCCACCTCCTGGTAACAAATTAGCCAAAGAGGGAACCCCTTGGTTTCTCATTTCTTCTTGTGCTCGCCTCATTTCTTCAGGATCTGTTGTAACAGACAATAGGTTGAGAAAAATGTCAAAATGAAATTACAAGCGGGTCATTTTTCTTTTTCATCACATTCGTTGAGAGGGGCAAGTAGAAGCAAATGCATGGGGCAGTTGTACCCAGACAACTTAAGAATAAAAGATTGCCAAAATTGTAGAATTAGAGATGTATAGAATAAATTGGTAAAAAAGTAACATTCGTGAAAAATAAACAGCAGCTCGAATCTTCTTCAAACAATCAGAGAATAAGCAACACAGAAGAATTTAGCCCAATCAAGATAAAAATAAAAAATAAATATGCAGGCAAAGTAATTAAACAGCTTGTTTCCACCAAAATCAACTCATAAAAAACTATTGCAATTCAGAACTTCAAGAAATCTATCAAGTCATGAACTAGTAATAGAGTACTTTACCCATGTTTTCCACTAATTTGGGCATTAAAAACACAACCACCAGCATAAATCCCACCATGAGACCCATTGGGCTTTTTACAACAGACATTATGGAGAAAGGTTCCCTGATCTGCAATAAAGTAGGATATACATGAAGCAAAGGATAGATAACAACTGAAAACAAAAGGATACATAAACATAAATAGCTAAAGGTTCCTCAACCTCGTAATATTGTTCATCTCTCAATGGTTCTAAAACCAATTCACTGAGACCCCTCCTGTTCTCTGTCAATGCTGCCTGTACCTTGCCTGGGTTTCTAGCACTAACATCAACTCTAACCTAAGCAAGTTTCAAAGAAATTAATGTTAAAGAAAAAAGCTCCAAAAAACCTTGATTACCAAAAATCGAGAGACTTGAGCAAGAAATAAAATTCTTACTGGAGAAAAGAAATAGCCAATTGCAGCCACTTCAATCAAATGAGTCCCTGCTGGTACATTGTGACTTTAGGCATTTATGTTAAGGAATCATAATACTCCAGAGGAAAGGTTTACTGCCATCCATTTGATACAGTATCACATTATTTACTTACAGACAAAAAGCATTGAGAGGACAAAGAAAGAAGAAGTAAATAACTAAAAGATATAGATTTTCAATCAGAGCTATGCATAAGAATTGATAACTATTAGGATACAATGAAAAGGATCCGTCAGGTCTCAGAAAGGTAACGTTTTGGCCACCATTGAGTATAACTTTGATATTTGACGTTCTTCCGGGCAAAGCAAACCCTTTTGTACCCAGACCTGCCAAATAAAGTCATCAGTCATCTGCATGAAATTAAAATTAACACATAACATATCATAAAAAAAAAATAATAGACAGATACAAACAATGTAGTCACATTGATTCAGGCTATTTTGGAAACTAAAACAATGCCGCAGTGAGGAAAGTTTAACAAATATCAAACTTTAGAATGTATAATCTACAATGAGGTTCACAGGTCCCATCTTGCATTAATTAAATCCATTGATTGATGATTAGATTATATCGCCTCCATCTTATAACATAACAGAAAAGGGACACAAAAAATAACACAGAACAACAAAAGATATTGATGTAAGTCTTACCCAAATAGTCCTAATCAAAATTCAAAAACATCTAATTATCTATACAAAGACTACCTGAAGTGGAGTTGCATAATAAATCACCATATATTTACAAATTGCAAATCAGCATAAAAAACCAGAATTTTACACATATACTTTCATTCTAAAACTGAGGCAAATATTACCACAGCAAAAACACCATATTAGAATGAAACAAAAATCCAAAACAGCCAAAATCACCATATAATTTTATAATTTTGCATAAAATCAGTAAAAAAAAAAAAAGGGAATAATACCTTGGGGGATCTTTACTCGACCATTGATGGTGAACCCATCTCCAGACCTGCCAAAAACAGATAAAGAAATAAGTGATTAAGATAAAAACTAATAAAAGATCCATTTACGAGAGAGGAATTAACTAAAAAACGAAATACTTTTACTTGACCCTACGCTCAACTGAACCAGTTAGCTAATGATGATAAAGTCAATAAATTCAATTTCTAGTTAAAATATCTAAAGTTCAAAAGAATTCAATCAGATTTACTTTTTTGAAACAGGAAATTAGGACTAGTATCAAAGAGAAGGCAGCGCAGATAAAGTAGTACCCTGATGAAACCACCAGTGCTGTAAAGAGAAGCACAAGCAAGAGGAATCGTGAGATCAGTGCCATAGCAGCTGAAATTCGAGAGCTTCGATGAAAACTAGTACAAGCAGTTGTGGTTTTCCCAGATTTTGGAAATTTGTTGAATTTTTATTTGATGCTCCTCAATTGAGCTGACTACTAAATCTGGGCCTTTCATCTTGGGTTGGTCACATTCGCACAACGACGACTGGGCAATTGACTTGGGCTTGTTTGAATTAATAAAAAAATTTAAATCAAACTTCGATATATATGATAAAATATAGTATAAAAATAAAATATAAAAAATAATTCGTCTTAAAATTTTAATAATTATTATATATTAATTTAGTAAAAATATATATTTTATATTTTTGTTTTCATATAAATTATAATACATAATTTTTATATAAACACAAATTTTAATATTTTACATAATGAAATAGACTCAAGAAAATTGATTAAGATAAATGGTTAAAAGAATTAAGGGAAATAGTTTTGTAGTTAGCTTAAAACGTAAAAGAGAGAAAAAAAATGGAATAACTATATGTGTGGTTTTTAAAATAGAGAAAAAAAAAGAAATAGTAGATTTTAAAATTTGGATTCTTTTTTTTCTTTTGTCAAGGAAAACTAAATTATTATTAATTATTATTATAACTTTATTAATACATATATTTTAATTTTTTAATTTATTTTTTGTCAATTTACCCACTAACATGGTAAAGAATTGACTCGTGATACCGATTCAATCAAATATTTTAAGAATAGCATAAAAACATTAATTTGTATAAAGCTTTTTTGAATCAACAACATGAAGAGGAAAAAAAAAAAAGATCTTTTGAGTAAAGAGAATGTCTTACAAATTACATTTAAGGCTGAATGCCAAAACAAATAAAAAAAATGAGGATTTCTTTTTCCTTTTTTTCCCAACATGCTAGTAAAAAAAAAAAAAGGAAAACAAGGATTTCATTTACAAGATTGGTTACTGTAAAACATAATTTTCACCATTTTTCCCACACAAGCCAGATAGCTTGAAGGAAGTTTATACAACAAATGATGGAGATAATGGCGCCTGACAAATAATGAAGATGGTCTAATTTCCACAAATGCTACAATCCCAACTTTCTTGAGAACCAGTTCGAAAGATTAGCTATTACAAATCCAGCAAACACCTGCGATACACCATAAAAGAATGTAAAAGATCGAACAGACTGTCAAGTGTCACCACAAAATCTAATAAACCACATCGCTTTGACGGTGGAATTTACCTGAGCTGAACCAAGAATGTAAATTGCTGAGTAGTGACGGCCGTGAATGACCATGTCAGCCACCATTGCAAGAGGGATGGTAAGTGACATGCCCAATGTGGCTACTAGAGGAGTTGTCCACACAACACATAATGCCCTAGAAAAGAGAGGTAATTTGAAGCGAGATTAAGAATACATGAAACATGAAGATCAAAAAGGTTGCATGTAAAGGATGCATACCAAAAATAATCAGAGAGGACGCTTCCAACGAAGCCATTTGCAAGGACCACTTCATCCAATTTAGCAGAGTGTGGAATTGTAAATTTGGGTTCTATTCCAAAGGCTGTCAAAGGCCAAACTGAAACAATATTTTAAGGAACAATTAGTTTGCTAATTAAACGTTGGGATGTAATCGAGTATAAAGTCAACTAAATCTTATAAGAATTTAGAAACCAACTTCTATGACTTATTCTATAAGAATATTAATTCTCAAAATATTCTTACCAAGCCACCATAGCGCTACAAGTGTAAAGAGTCCTATGTATCCAAACAACTTTTGAACATCAACCCTTTCTCCTTCCTCACCCGCAAACTTTTTAAGCAGCACTGCAACATATTTGAAAAATGGAAGACAAGATGACAATTTGCCAAAAGAATGGTAGAAGAAAGGATAAAAAAAGACTTCAGCCAAACCTGTAAATAGCCCATATGACATGGCTGAGAGGAGGCCAAAAAGATCACCAACAAGAGAGCGTTTCCCATTGCTAAACACAAACATCAACTGTCAATGTTCAAAACATACATTACAAAGAGCAAGCTAGCAGAAAAAAGATTATACTAACATGTCCAATGAAATATGTAAGAATTGTCTGAACAATCTGTAACTACATACGTGATGCTGATATAGTTATAGCCAAATTGAAGTAGAAGTGAAAAACACTATTACAGTATGGAAATGCTTCTAGCCAAAGTAATTAAGTACCATGTGATTTTTTGGCCAAATGAAAGAGATCTTCTACAGAATGGAACTTAATTATCACTTTTGATATGGTAATAGTAAAAGCCCTGAAGCTTATATAAGCAAGCAGGAAAGAGTCGAATGATAAAACAAAGCAATTCCAATCACTGAGCTTTTCTTTTTACCAAAATCCAGAAAAATGTAATGATAAACTGAAATACTTTTAGAAGAAACTAAAGGGACACCTTGAACCTACAAAAAGAATTTTGGAGGAAGGATATAATCCACTAACCCATTCTTTGAACTATAGTGGCTTTGGCAGCACTATTACTTACATGAAAACAGCAGTGCCAAGTATCAACTATAAATCAAAACCATACATGCATGTAGATTTCTGTAGGTCTGGCCTATAATTCTGTGAAGGCAACAGAATCCTGAATAAAAAGTATGCCAAGACTATATACGTTGAGACATTAAAGATAGAATGAACTTACGCAGAAGAACCTATTGAATCGTCAGCAGCCCAAGTTTTTCCCAGAGTGGTCATGGCAACACCAGCCATGCTGACAAAGACTGCAACCACCTTTGCTACATTTAATGAATCTTGGCCCAGAAAAGCACCTATAAAAAGTGTAAAAAGTCCTGAAGTAGAAGACAGCACTGTTGTACTTGCTACACTTGTACGTGCAAGAGCGGCATTTGAAAAATACTGCAAACAACCAAAAACCTTTAGCAGTAACTCTTTTAAGTTCCTTTGCATGTATGCTTCATATCCAAAATAGAGCAGAATAATTCCCGGAAAAGCTATTACTATCAATCAATGCAAAAACTACTCTTTTTAGGGAGAATCCTTTGCTTAATTTACAAAGTAACAAAAAGAAAAAAAAAAAAAAGGTTTGCATATTTAATGCACAAAATTGAGGCTAAATCTTTTATGGAACAAAAGAATGTGAAAAGGGAAAAGTTGAATGCAAAAATTGCTTTGCAGTCATTAATTACCTCTGTTACAAACCAGATAGGGGCAATATAAAATCCAAAGGTAGCAATCTCTCTCGTCGTAAGCTCCTTGTCCTGTTTCAGAAAGTGCCCTTCATCTTTGTTTTTGGTAACCAACGGCTTTCCTTCTATGTGAGGTGAAAGATCTGCATCACTGTCTTTCCTGGTCAAAGTCCCCTGAAGTTCCATTTCGAATGTTTTGTGCCTTAGAGGAGAATTAAGTTCAACGGAAGACTCCTCTATGTTTTCTATATCTTTAACAGTTTTAGATGTACGCCAACTTAGCGAGTTAAATAGCCAATCCTTTATAAATGCTATTGGAAGGTAAATTACCATAAGCGACACTCCAAGGTATGTAACCGCGAATGGCTGCTTATAGTCAGTAAAGATATCCTGTGCACAAGATAACAGTTAGTGTCAATGTGAACTAGCCAACTAGCTTAAAAATAATGTAACGCATTGTAGAATCATGATAATATGGAAGACTTCTGAGTTTGAAAGAGAAAGCAAAATCCAAAAAAACGTTAGTACTTCTAATCAACCTTCGCAGAAGCGTGAAAAACCTTCGTGTGATACATACGTAAATAAACACCCAGATGACGGCCCTCGGAATCACATTCAGAGACTATAAATGCATGACTTATTCCTTTTGATGCATCAGACAGCAATTCAGCTAAACAGACCTGAATCTTTACAAGATTTAACATTCAATGACACAAAGTAATCGTAGCATGTTACCAGTATGCTATACGTATGAGCCTGGAACAACTGACCACATGAAACACGATTAAATGCTATTCTATCCTCGTACGCGTTTAACAACTTAGTCCATCATTCAAAAAATAAATAACCCAGAGAGCCAATACTTTGCTATAACGAATATGCAAACATATGACGAAATACAAATGAGATCAAATCCAATTAATTAACAATTAATTGATCAAAAAAGTGAAGAAATGCAGATGTATGGATATGTTAATTAAAATTAACAATTGGAATCCAAAGAAAAAAAAAAAGAAAGGAAATTGAAACTAGCCTGGGTTACTTCTGCAGATGTTACCCATATGACAACAACAGTAGCTATCAAGAACAAGCCGGCCTTATATCTCCAACCCATTAGAAATCAGGCAAGACAGATGCAGAAAAACCACAGGGATTTCAAAGATCTAACTGTTTCGACCAGATCTTTGAGCAAGTCTTGTTGGCTTTTGGCCTGCCACCGACACGTGAATGTAAGATCAAAGATGGCTTAGGCTTCAATGTTGAAGCTTCAGAGAGAGAGAAAAGAATTGGTTGGCCGCTGGTACGTAGCCAACAGGTGGGAGAAGGAGAAGATCCTTGCAAACCAGAAAAGCCAAAAATCTTGTTAAGAAAGAGAAGGAATGATTAGAACAAATTTCTTTTATTGTTAATAATATGACTCCGTTTAATTCCTTCCGCTCTTTTCTCTTTCTCTGTCCTACGTCTGTCGTTATAATTTGTTACTTTTGCCTGACACGTCAGCATAAAATTGTAAAAAAGAAAATTACCGTTACTTACGACGTTACAAAATGTCATAAAATCTCCATTTCGATTTACCTAATAGGCCAAAAAAAAGTTTTTTACCTATTATTTATTATTAAATTTAATAAAAATAATGCATTAAATATAAATTTTGTTTCTTAAATAATATTTTAATTATCTTTATTCAATATTTATAGATACGTGTTAATCATATCTTTACTTATAATTCATTTTCAGACATTTAATTTGAGTTTTGAAAAATATTTCTACATCATAAGTATATTATTAGTCAGTGCCTATTAGCATTAGATTGAAAATGTAATTTTTATATCTTTAAAAATGTGATTTTTATTTTCTTCAAAATTTATTTTTTTAAGAATAAATGTGATTTTTGTTTAAATTATAAAAAGTAAAATATAATTTTTAATAT